TGCCGGTGGCTCAACACTTCTTCCGCAGACTATCCCAGGACCAATTGCGAATATAATCTGGATCGATGCCATCGTCAAACGCCTTGTTCATTGCGGCTAGCTGGAGATTGATCAAACGCTCCCGCACCCCCGAGGCGGTATTGCCAAGGGACGGGATACGATCGATAGCGTCGATCGCTAGGCTGTACCGGTCGGTTTGATTGCGTACAGCGAGCTCAAACGGCGTATCAATGCTTCCCTTCTCCTTGTAGCCCCGCACGTGCAGGTTTTGCTGACCCGGCCGCTTGTACGTGAGACGGTGGATGAGCCAGGGGTACGAGTGGAAGTTGAAGATGATAGGTTTGTTGGTGGTGAAGATGGCTCCCCATTTGCGGTCGGACATGCCGTGCGGATGATTGATGGTGGAGATGAGCCGGAACAGGTCAACAACGTTGACAAAACGGACCTTGAGCTGGGGCAGGTGCTGGCGCAGCAGAGCCGTCGCGGCCAGCGCTTCGTGCGTAGAGACATCGCCGCAGGATGCCATAACCACATCGGGCTCACAGCCCTGATCGTTGCTAGCCCAGTCCCAGATGCCGACTCCCTTGGTGCAGTGCTCAATCGCCTCCTCCATGTTGAGGAACTGCACGTGCTCCTGCTTGTCGGCCACGACGACATTGACATAGTTGACGGTGCGGAAGCAGTGGTCCATCGTCGACAGGAGTGTGTTGCCGTCAGGAGGGAGGTAGATTCGTACCACCTCGGGGCTCTTGTTAGCCACCACGTCCAGGAATCCGGGGTCCTGGTGCGTGAATCCATTGTGATCCTGACGCCACACGGTCGCGGTCAGGAGGATGTTGAGCGAGGAAATCTTGGCGCGCCATTCAACCGAGAGGCACTTTTCAATCCACTTGCAGTGTTGGTTGACCATCGAGTCGATCACATGGATAAAGGGCTCGTAGCTGTTGAGCATCCCGTGTCGACCAGACAAGACGTAGCCCTCCAGCCATCCTTCACAGGTGTGCTCACTGAGCATCTCCATCACACGGCCCTGCATGGCGAGGTTGCCGCCGTCCTCATCTTCTTTGAAGTACTCGGCCATCCAGACCTTCTTACCCGCCTTGTAGATCTCGGCAAGTTTGTTGGACTCGGTCTCATCGGGACCAAAGACTCGGAAGGTGGTCATGTTCTTGGCCACCACGTCACGCAGATACTTGGACATATTGGACATGCTTGGACGGATGGTGACACCTGGCTCGATGTCAGTCAGCGCGTAGTCACGGAAATCGGGCAGATCCATCGGTCGTCGCAGGAGACCGCCATTGCCGACCTGATTGGCGCTGATGCGTGAGTTGCCTGTCGGGGCCAGCTCCTTCAATTCGGAGATCAGTGTACCATTCTTGTCGAAGACCTCCTCTGGCTTGTAGGCCTTCATCCAGTTCTCCAGGGCCTTTAAGTGATCCGGCTTGCTCTGCACATCGGTGATAGGGATCTGGTGGGCACGCCAAAAGCCCTCTAGGAACCTGCCGTCAATTTCTCTGGGCGCTGACCATCCCTTGGGCGACCGAAGGACGATCATAGGCCAGAGGGGGCGGAAGGCCTTGTTGGACTCGCGCGCCTGTTTCTGGATCTTCTTGATTTCCAATACACAATGCTCGAGGGTGGCCGCCATGGCCTGGTGCATGCTCTCACGGTCGCTTCCCTCGACAAAGTACGGGGTCCACCCGTATCCCTTGAGGAGCATTTCCAACTCCTTGTGACTAATCCGGGCCAGAATGGTGGGATTGTTGATCTTGTAACCGTTGAGATGGAGCACCGGAAGAACTGCCCCGTCGGTGATCGGGTTGAGAAACTTGTTGCTGTGCCAACTGGTGGCCAAAGGGCCAGTCTCGGCCTCACCATCACCCACCATGGTCAAAGTGATGAGATTCGGGTGATCAAAGACGGCTCCAAAAGCATGAGAGATAGAGTATCCCAGCTCACCTCCTTCGTGAATACTTCCCGGGGTCTCTGGAGTTGCGTGGCTGCCGATTCCGCCGGGGAAGGAGAACTGCTTGAAGAATCGCTGCATGCCCCTTTCATCCTGCGCCTTGTCCGGATAGACCTCGGAGTATACACCCTCGAGATATGACTGCGAGAGAACGCCGGGAGCACCATGGCCGGGGCCAGAGATGAATAATACATCCAAGTCGTATTTCTTGATCAAGCGGTTCATGTGGATCCATGTGAAGGATTGACCAGCGTCGGAACCCCAGTGGCCCAGTAATCGAGCCTTGAGATGTTCCACCTTGAGAGGCTCTTTCAGAAGAGGATTGTCACGCAGATAAAGCATGCCCAGACAAAGATACATACTCGCACGGAAATAGGCATCCGTCTTGCGGAGCTCGTCTTCGCTCAAGGGGCTCCCTTGGATGGTGGACCGAGCGACTCCATACGCGGAGAGGCTCTCAATTTCACCTTTTGACGTCATTCTTGGTAATTGTTGAGTTCAATTCATCAACGATCTTTTCTCCTCAAGCGTAAGTAAGTAAAGTGGGAGTAGAATGAGGATACATAGACGTGGCAGAGACTGATGGGATGGAGGAAACGTTAGCAAAGAAAAACCGGGTTCAGTTTTATATAAAGACAGAGAATTGATATATATGGCCTGATAATGAGACGACCCCAGGATCTCCTAGTGTTTCGCTCATGCTGACCAGATGGAGGACGTTGACAAGGCAGTTCGATGACGTAGAATGATCCGAAGGAACCGACACCAGGTCTGGACGCGCTGAGTTCGGGTCTGAAGGCTCGATTGGATGGAGCATGATGGGTGTCATGATGTTTTGAGTTGGGAATAGGATTTGCGATGATATCTGACCTTGGATGCGCCCTTTGGTAGAGCAGAGCGATCAGGAGATTATCGCGAGGTCCATGGGCCCATCTACCGCACTTCTCGCATCTGATTGGGTCAATTTAGATAAGATCACGTGCTGTTGATGCCTTGGAAATTTGGCTTAAAATATCCTGATTCCTGAGGCAGCCACATACAAAAGTACCATGCCTCAAACATTCAGGGAACTGATGTTTAGATTCCTTGTATTATCGACCTTAGGTCTAAGGACACAGCAAGGACCCATATATGGCTTCGTGTACTGAGCCAAAGACACGTTCAAATTACGGCTGATGTAGATGAAATGCTTGGCCCTCGTCTCGATCATTCTCCCTCCGATGCGTCAATATTAAGCAATGATCACAACAGAAGGACGGCTGCGAGTCAAGAATGCCCCCTAGTAATTTATCGAAGCTTTTGCCCCTGTAGACGGTGAGAGCTTAGCGACCCAGCTAATTCTGCTACAATTGCGACATCTGAGCATTGCCAGGTCGCACGCCCATAAGACACGACGTAGTAGGCTCCACCACTCACTCAGACACCTGTGGTTAGCTACTGGATCGGAACCCGGCACTTGTTCCCTGACAAAGTCACTATTCCACTGCAAAGCGAGGAGAAGAGACCCTGGTGCTACATTGTCCCAGTAGGAGACACAGGATAGCGTTAACGCTTGTCCTCCGCGCCTTTGCTGCTTCCTGGTCTGCTGAACTGGCTGTCCGTCATTCTCTTATTTTTGGCAGCTTCAAAGTGAATCATGATAGTCGTTGTCTCTCGTCATCGGCATACCAAGTTGCACGGCCTCTCTTGAGTCTATCTCAAGTCCGGACCTGTTGTGGATTAATGGTCACTTCATGATAAGGAGAGAGTGATCGCCAGATGGTTTGAAGATGGCAGTACCAGTGGACAGCAAGCCATCTATTCGACAGAGATTGTTTATTAGTGATACCATTAGAGAAAGGGGTAACATCAGGAGAGGTCAGGGTTTTTGTATAAATAGCCAATTAAAGGCAGGAATCCAAATTCTGTAGGTGTAAAATCTTTGACTGACGCATCTCGGCTGGGAGAGATGCAGGTTCAGGACTGGATCCTCCCGCAAAGCACAACGTCCTCTCCGAACGGATACCATTTCACGTCGGTCAATCGCGATGCGGGAATGGCCACGCCTTGCTCGTTGAATCGCCGCTTAGGCGAAACGACCACTCCTCCTTGTCCGAGCCAGGTTGGAGCGATCGTGACAATGACCGAGTCAATGAGATGTTGATAGGATGGCTCCAGGAGAGAATTGATGATGGTCCCTCCTCCCTCGATCATGACACTCTTCAGTCCTTCTTTGCTGAGGGCCTTGAGCAGAGTGGTCCAGTCGATACGATGCTCCCCTGTTTCAGAGGTCACCACATCGAGAGAGATGAACTTGCCGCCGTGTCTCTCCAACAGAGCTTTCTTCTCTGGCGGGACGGACTGCGACCCTGTGATGATAAAGGGCGCTCGACCTCGACCCTCCCGGGCCAGTGCCAGAATCTTAGAGCTCTCTGTAAAGTCCCATCGGGCGATGGGATCGATGACGATCGGCCGGGGTTGTCCTTCTAGACCTTGACCCCCGTAACCACCGACGCCAGCGATGCGGCAGTTCAATCCAGGGTCATCTGCAACCGCAGTACCAACCCCGATCAGGATAGCATCATGACGCGACCGGAGATAGTGGGTCATCGCTTTCGATTGCGGCCCTGAAAGTACGGTTTTTGCGCCTGGTGAAAGGGCCAGAGCAGAGTCGAGGGAGGTAGCAAAAGTGACTGTGGCGAAGGGGAGATCAGAATCTGGGGATTGGGAAAATTTAATTTTTGGCGGAAGATGGGGCTCTAAGAATATCCGACTTGAATCAGGGAATAAGAGAGCATCGCTGGATTGACTATTCGACATTCTGGAGATCTTTTGACACGATTGTGGATGTTTTCAGAGATGAGAAACGCAGGGAGAGCATTGATAAAAACAGTGGAGATGCGAATCAAACAAATTGATGCCTCGCTGCTCAGGCAGGATTTCCACCAGCGTGCGCGTCAAAGAAACAAAGTGGTCGATCCTCTGAAACTCATCCATTCTGCGCTTCATTTACGCGTTAAATACTAGAAAGAAATAGACAAAGCGATTTTATCTACTGCTTCTCTCCCTCTGGAACCAATTCCTCAAATCGTCTCAAATCCATGGGCTTCTCCAACAGCGGGATGACATAGGGATCAAAGGTCTTCCAGTACGGGTTCTCCAGGTGGTACTTCTGGGACCCCTCGTTCAGATAGCGCTCCACGATGCAAAAGTCCTGCTTGTCGTGGACCGACTGCATCACGAACCAGGACAGGGTCTCCTTGTCCTTGGAGTAGACGGCCGAGGCCTCGAGAAGCTTTGCGTGAAGCTTCGAGATGCACTCGGGATCAGGCTTTGCGCGGAGATCTGCAAAAATGAGTTTGAGCTCGGGATCGATTATGAGGAGTGTAGCATACGGACGACGATAGTATACACCATGTTGGGTAGACACGATCAGGACGTGGATGGGTTATTCGATTGATCACCCAGGATCTTGTCTTGTTTTATAAGTGCTGGTGGGGCAGGACTGCTACAAGCGCGTCGGTGAAGCTTAAGTGGAGCGGGGAGATCAGTTCATTGGACACTCGGATGGAGTCCGATGCAGCTATATTGTTGGAAAATGTCGACTCTATGTGGGAAAGTAATACAAGAAATGATAACGCAACGGGAATGAGCCCCGAATATGACAGAATGTGCAAATCCAAACCCTCACCAAATCACGCCAGACAACAGACAAACAAGCAACTGTTGTCTCCAAAGATAATGAGCACCAAAGATAATGAGCCAAGAAAGTATCCCAGAAATTCAAGTCTTGATCAACCAGCCAACGGATCCCCCGACGGCAACCACGATGATCACGGTGAGGATCCATGCCCCCGCGCGATCGCCTGTGTTGATGGGATCAAGCTCATGCGGCGCTTCATCCTCATGGGTGTCGATCTGATGCTCCTTGCCGTCCGGGTTCGAATCAATGGTGTTCGGGGCGGTCGACTTGTAGTACATCAGATTGGCAGTGATGCCCGCCAGGGCCGCCATCTGCGTCTCCAGACCGGGAGTATAGCCGTCCCAGGTGGGCTGCCACCAGCGCATGCCGCAGGTATTGTCGGGCGGCTTGGAGCACTGCTTGGAGATGGCCAGAGCGGATCCCTGAAGGACGGGGATGATCCGGGCCGCCGTCGAGGGGACGAGAATGGCGGTATTCGCCAGCCACATGGCCGTGTACCCTTTAAAGCCGATTTGATTGCGATCGCAGGTCATGATGGGCTCGCAGGCAACCTCGGACAAGACGTTGCCGCCCTTGTCCTTGGGGCAGAAGGTGCCGATAAGGGACTCCAACAGGCCGTTGACTCTCTGCAGCCATTTGTCGTCACCGTTGGTCTTTTTCGCCATAGAATAATCAGCGTGCCGGTCGAGCAAGTCTCCTGGACATGGAGTGACTTACGTAGTTATACATGTACGAGGCCCCCGACAGATAGGTGCCGTAGTTGTACGACCATTGCGTGTTTCCCGCATCCTTGCAGTTGGCTTCGTTGGAGGTGGAATCGGCAATGTACCAGCGATCCGTCTGCAGCAGTGGAGTGGCGGCCGACCAATCCCAGATCTTGTCGGCCCATTGCGCATAGGTGTCGTTCCTGGTGAAGCGCGCGAGTCGGGCCGACAGTTCAAAGAGACCACCGTTGGAGATGGCATTCTTCATGGTGTAACCGGCCTGATACGGCCAGATCTGCCACCGCATGCCGCCATCGCAGGCCACCTTATCCCACCGGGCCACTTGCATGTTGAAGACGACCCGAGCCAGAGAGGTCCAGGTGGGTTTGCCTGAGATCTCCGGGAATCCTGTCTCCGAAGCTGTAATGGAGGCGAGACCCCAGAACATCTGATCATCATTACCCTGGGAGATGTCAGCATAGGCAGAGCCTAAAAACTGTTGCGACTTACCAGCCATTGGCTGTAATTGCCCGAGAAGAAGTCATAATTCTCGCCCGACTGGAACATCAGGTCATGTGACACGACAGAATTGTATGTCTCATCGCCCGAGGCCTGCCAGTACTGGATGAGGGTCATGAACATGGCGCCGGCCACGTACCAGGTGCCGGTCAGCTTGCCCGGGATGCCTTCGGTCTGGTTCTTGTCATAGAACTCCATCATGGGAGCAGCGACGGTTTTAGCCGCCGATTTGAGTGAATCTGATCATCATAGCATGTGTTACAAGGTGTACATCTAAAGAAGTCTAAGATGAGGTTTTTGGGAAGACATACCAACATTCTGGGCCTGGATCCCGAGCTCTGCTAGGGCCACCTGCCCAGAGAGGAGCAGAGTGGTGGCCCCGCAGAGTTGGCGCAAACTCAGCATGCGCATCCCGAAAGCGATGGCTGACCGAAGGAGGAGAAACGGGGAGAGGCTCAAGGAAATGGGAAGAGGAGGTAACAAAGGGGATGGCAGAAATCAGGTTTGACGAATCACCAGGACCATCATACCAAAACAGAATGATCTGGGTCCGATAGACAGGAACAACAATAATAGGGATAATAGGAACAACAATAACTACGTATCGTAGGGGTGGGAAGTGACGATAACAAAATTAGGAGCCAGGCAGTTTGAGGCAGCGTGGTTTGGGAAAACTAATCATAAAATTAATGATAGGTAATAATAATAATAATAGTGCTCGTCCTCCTCATTACTATTTTTTAAGGGGGGAAGGCAGTGCTGACTGCCAAGGGTGCCAATGCCACTGTGACCAGGACAGATGCCAACATCATCCGATCATTGGGTCATTGCAATTTTAGACCAATATTATTCAGTTGTGAAACTTTGGATCCACCACTAAGACAAAAGAAGCCAAGACTCAGGTGTCTCAGGGACACATTTTAGCCAATGGGAACTCGCCGCGGCCATCAGGGTTGCCCCACTTTCGATCCTCTGCCCCAAAATGGGCTCAATCAGCGCGTGGGAAGTTGTCTCCTGCCAAGACAAAAGACCCACTGTGATTCAATGCTAATGGACACAATCTGGCTGCCTAACGCCAAAACAGGTTAGCATCCCCTTACCGCGCCAGGAATAGTTTAGGGAGAAGAGATCCCTCTTTGGATGGCAAGGTCAGCGTTTTATGTCAGATGTCACTGCCACCTCATAATTATGGCACAAGGTTCGATGTCTCATTTGATCCTTGAGAAAGGTACATATCAAGTTCTAAGTGTTGAGATGAATGTCGACCTTGAGAATCATCATTAGAGATGATCCTCTTTACTTCATAGGTTGTATTGCTGACTACGTCCACTGGCTGCTGTGCTGCACAGATATATTCCTGCGGTGTCATTGTCAGAATTGTACTGCTCTACCCCTGACGACTAAATCAACCGCAGACTTCGAAGCGTATGTATATAGGATGATATACCGTCATCGGACTACTCCCATATTGTAGTAATTGCTTGCGTCTTTGATAGCAGCTTAACGGTCATTAATAAGCAATGCAAATTTTCTTATCAAAACTCTTGAAGAACTAAGGTACACATTGGCACCAGACCAATAAGAAAGAAGCTACGCGAAATAGCTTCAACTTGCCTAACTGAGACCCGTCTGGGGAAGGTCCAAGCAGCGATTTCTAATCCGGAGAGTTTTGATCCACGACGTCACCTCTCGGCGGAATTACTAATGGACGTCAACCGCTGTAACTCAGCGACAAAATATAAAATGGTTGCTATGAAGTAGACGAATTAACAGACAGACTTGTCTGGAATTGCGGCTTGTACATTCTGGTAGTAGCCATGGCGTCTCTCACTGCAGCAAAGAGCGTTCTTATTGTTGGTGCGACCGGATACATGTGAGTGTTGTCAACCTCAGTGGAACAATCCCAGTATAGCTCTGACGCTCTGCAGTGGAGGTTCAATTCTCGCTGAACTCTTGCAATCCGCAGAGGCGTCTGAGTTGAGCATCTCAGCCTTGATCCGTCGACATGAACAGGCGGCCCAACTTCAGTCTCTCGGAGTAAATCCTCTGCAATTCAAGGGCCTGGACGACCTTGACGCATGTAGAGACGCTGCTTCCCAGCATGATGGTATTGACTAGTTCTAGATTATTGATGCTTTGACTTGCGCTCACACATCGCTCTAGTGGTGATCAACGCCGCGTCTGCCTCCCACGATCGCTCTGCCAAGGCATTGATAGAGGGGTTGAGCCAAAGACAGAAAGCTACTGGCAAAGAGGCATACATGATCCATGTAAGGCTTTCTTCTTTCGAATACATAGTGTCAAAAACTGCAACGCTGACGACAATGTAGACCTCTGGGACGTCTATCCTGGGAGACCATCCCTATACCGGTACGCCGCAGAATCAGAAGGTCTGGTCGGACGAGAAAGACGACGTCTACGCAATGGAGAAGAACCATCCCGAGCGCTATGGGCAACGGGTCACCGATGTCACGGTGGTGGAGACGGGATTGAGTCTTGGCGTCAAGACGTATATCGTTGTCCCTCCCACTATCTGTATGCTATTCATCCCGGTGTAAAAGGGTACCAAGGCGAATTGAACTGACAAACGACAGATGGCAAAGGATCCGGTCCATTTGCGACACTAAGTCAACAGGTGCCCAATCTTGCGCGCCTTGCCCGAAAACGAGGCCGTACTGCCGTCATTGAGAGTGGATCTGGTGTAAGTTTGATATACAATATATGATAGATAGTTTCTGACTGACATTCCTCGTCATAGATCTGGAATCATGTCCACATCCTGGATCTGGCGAATTTCTATCTCCTCCTCTTCCGGGCTGTGCGAGAGCAACCGGACTGGCTTCCATCGGGCCCCAGGGCCGTCTTCTTCGCCGAGAGTGGAGAGCATACATGGCTACAGGTTAGCCAGGGTATTGCTGATGCTCTGCATAAGCAGGGACTCTTAGACAATAACAAAGTGGAGTCGATCAGTATGAAGGAAGCAGCAGCAGAAATCACCGGGGGCAATGAGAGCCTCGTGGAAATTACTCTTGCATCCAAGTATGTTGCCGCGAGAAAGATCTACCTAACACATAACATGACTAATGCAAAAACAGTTCCCGGGCGAGAGCTGATTTCGCTCGCGATCGGCTGGGGTGGAAGACATCCAGGGGCGATGAAGATTTTCTGAATCACTTCGACGGGGAGATCGAAGCCATGAGAGAAGAGCTGCAGGCGTCGAAGTGATGATCGGATTGTTTACAGCTATTCGCTTTGTTCCCCCGAACTGGGGTGGATAATGAAGCCTTGCTCCCACGATGGCAACCAGGCATTAATAGGATAATACCAAGGTAGTCCATGTCTCTCACTGTTCAAAATATTTGATCACTCAATCCATATACTACCTAAATGAAGCGCAATTGCAGGTGATCTAAAAGATAGTGGCTCAATTCCAAAGATAGGTTTCCAGAAGAAGATGTACGCAGAAATACATTTCATACCCAACAAACATCCCAGGTAGTCCCATTTACCTACCGCCTCTTAACTCTTACACGAAGCTCTCACAACCATCTGATCCTTCAATCAAGTCTCAGTGTAGTAATCCTAGGAGACAGTGATGGAAGAAGATCCGCTGCTCTGATAACCCTCAGTGGCGACAATTTGGTAGTTGTGGGTTCCAAGCTTCATGCCCAACCTGCTCCAGGCGTTGAAGTGGTTGGCCATGGTGACAGTGCCTCCGACACGCTTGGAGGTCCGCACCGACCAGAACTGGGTGAAAGTCTTGGTGCCTTCGATGGAGGGGGCATTGTAGCGAGTGGCCGTGTAGATGTTGTAAGTGGCACCGTCGGTGGTGACACTGCCCTTGTAGGTAGCACCGCTGCTGGGGTTGTATGAGCCATACGACTCCACAACATAATACTCAATCAGAGGGTTGGTGGTCCAGCCGTAGACGGACAGGTAGCCATTGCCGCTGGGGTTGAAGCTGCCTCGGTAGTTGATGGTTCTATTTCTATCAGCCACGGGTCCTCAAGTCAAGACGTTGACGACGCTCTGTACCTAGCGCTTCCAGGGTTCCAGCCCTTTCCACCGACAAAGTTGTTCACGTTTTGCCAGTTGACTGAGTACGAGCCACCGGCTCCATTGTTGTAGTTCACATTGCCGCCGCCATCGGTCCAGAAGGAGTAGTAGTAACCATTGTTATATCCGGTTGAGCTTGGGGTGGAGCGTTCAGCGAACTCATGGAGAGCAGTCTCGTTGAACGTGGTGCCCTCGGATTCGACGGGGGCAGCCAGAGCTCCAACGGCGGAGCAGGCCAGCAGCAGGTACGAGAAAGAAACCATGATGCTCGAAGGGGATTGGTGTTTGACTGCAAATATGATTGTCCAAGGGAGTAGTTGTTGGATTCCATACTCGAGGATGTCTCTGCTCTTTATACCTTTGCATCACCGGCAGTAGAGCAGTGAGCAAATACCGGCCTACCCCACATCGCGACATCCTGACACTGACGCTACTCTAGCGGCTATATTGAGATTACAGTGTTTGGGTCTCGATTGACTTTGTCACATCCATCAGGGATGCGGCAGTTAATCCGGGGCACCCGCTGCGGAGCATTTGGCCCAGAGTCCACAATTCTGCAAGCAAATCCGGCTGAATTGGAAGATATATGGTCATGAGGTTGGAAATGCCACTGCAGAATGACAACAGGCTGAAGCTTTCGGCTGGCGAGGGGAAGGCGGGAGGGGTTGCGTTCGGATAAATGCCATTGTGAAGCCATCCACGATGGAGCACTAACAGCCATTTTAGCCTCTACACCACCAATACACGACGATCAGTGGGTGTTACACGCTGAAATTCAGGGACCAAGACATCCTGCATTTGCTCTTTTTAGCCTCGGCCTATCAGCCCATTCTGGTCAAAGGAGCGTTTCTGTTTCAGCCCCAAACGGTAGAGTGCGTTAACGTATTATGGACCCTGAAGAGCCTAGACTAGGACTGCTAAGACATTGTCAAACGCCAAGACTATCCTCCTCAAAATGGACGTGCAACTCTCTTCCTCCATGAATGGCTTTTCTCCAACTCGTCCAGGGGGAATTATTATAATAAAAGGATGACTGAACGTACGATACAAATCATACAAGGCACCACCCCTGTCACACGCTGTCCTGGATAAATGAAACTCACCACTCTGGAGCACCATCGCCCACCTGGCTTCCAGTCGGATAATGTCCGAAACAGGCCTTTTGATATTCTGCCTCTTTCTTCAGCGTCGGAACGCCACTCAAGAATCTCTCAACTGGGCAGAACCCCTGGTGCGACTCTTCACAGCCTACCAGTCCATCCAGCGGCAAGGGAGCTCCATTCAGAACGAAGCGGATGAACCTGGTCGTGCCTACGGTGCGGTCGACATGGGGGTTACGATATAGAACCGGGGCA